TGCCGCCGAGCCCCGCGGGGGCTCCACAGGTGCCTGTGCATGTCATGATGGAAAAGCCCTGAGAAAGAAAAAATAAATAAAAATAAACATTCAAATCATTACACAAGTAGAAGGGTAGCAAATTACGACGCTGTCAATTTCTAAAAGCGCCGAGGGGAACAGCAAAGGAAGCTGACTGACACGGTTTGTCTGCAGCTTCATCAGACCACAGAACAGAAGAGAGGCGTCTTGATTCTTCAACGAGGAAGTCAAATTGATGCAGCATATAAGATGTTTTAGCATTAAAGCTATAAAAAAATAAGATCCTAAATCATCAACGTTTATCTGCCCAGCGCCAAGCAGCAGATGGATACAGCTGGCAATAATGAGAAGCTCTTGGAAACAATTACTGCAGAGGAGCTGGTGGACATCCAACACTGGAAATTCATCAGGTGTCCACAACACATCTCACGCAGAATACTAATGTTGTTTCAGGTCGAAGCAAACAGCTCCCAGAGCAGGTATCACTTACATTCTGAGCAACATTGTGTAAAGTTTGCTAGAATAAAAGGTTCGCAGATTAACATATTAACTTGCATTAATAATCTCCTAACGGCTGCCGCAAAGCAAACAGGATCCGAGCAGCAAAGCAGCTTTTTTTCTTCGTTTTTTTTTATTTTTTTTTATTAATCCTCTTGCCTTTTTCTGCCTCAAAAGGTCTTTGCAGCAAAAATCAAACAACCATTAAAAAATGTTAGGACAACGTTCAGCACTGCTCCTTCAAAACCTGAGGTGGACTAATTTGCACTTTTTCATTTTCTTCTCCTTATCAGAGGTTGGGTCATGGAGGCAACAAGCCTCCAGTGGGCTCGGGGTCTCCTTCCAGAGAGGCATCCTAATCAGGTGCTCAAACACACTAATCTGACTACACTTTTGATTAACTCTTCACATTTTTGTCACATTCTAATATATTTTTATAACCAAGCCTACATTAATTTGAACAAAATTGAATTTGTTGCATTTTTCTTTACACATTTTTATTGCTGTTCTTACAGTTCACCACTTGTGTGTCAAGAGATCGGTTCAGGCCACAAGAACATATCATTTTCTGTAATCTTCAATCTCTTCAGTTCTCCTCCTGCCTGCCACCAAGTCGACCCATCAGTCAACAAGTCAAACCATCTCGGTCTGTTATCGAGTTCTGCAAGGAGTCCTCGTGCAGCAGACAAATGTGAGCCATCAGCACTGTCCAGGCTGGATTTTTCTCTTTTTTTTTTCTTCCAGCCATCACAATGTCAGCAATAACTCGCTCCTATCCTCAGAGCCTGTCTACTTGACTTATATTTCAAATCTTTATCAAATCTGACATTTCAAATCTCAGGAGACATATTCTTTTCACAACCTCCCCGTGCTCAAGAAACACAATTGAAGGAAAATACAAACCCGGAACACATTTACACATCTGAAACCAATCACGGCACGTGCCGCCGAAGCGGTAAGATTCGCGGAGATATAAAACTGCATTCGTGCTTTCATGATAGCACTCGTCTGAACAGAGGAAACCGAGTGACGGCTACAAAAGATGAATGCAGGGAAACCGTCTGCTTGTGCTCGCAGAAGTACCCATTTTATTGTTTAAACCTCCAGCAGACAAAACACACTGAAAGAGAATGAAAGCAGGTTCTTTTCAGTGGAAGCTCACAGTCAGAAGGTAATAAAGTTCCTCATTGTAACATAAAGTCTTTCGAACTTCTAACATAAAGCCCGCATTTGTCAGTTTGACATAAAAATCGATGAATTGATTCAGTCTGTTCTGTAAAGTCTGACGGCAGCAACGTATCTCAAACACAATGGGACTGGGTTATTGTATTTTTAGTTTCATGATTTGCCAAAGGTTTTCAAGGTGAGAGGTCTGGACTGCAGGCAGTTCTGCACCTAGACTCTTTATTTTCTTGTACTAGATGCAGTGTCTTATAGCAATGTCCTGCTGAAATAAAGACAGACATTTTCTGGGTGGGAAAACCTGGACATACTTTTCTGCACTGATACACTAATGCACCTCTATATCATCAGAGAGGTAGCCTTTAGACAGATAGATAGATAGATAGATAGATAGATAGATAGATAGATAGATAGATAGATAGATAGATAGATAGATAGATAGATAGATAGATAGATAGATAGATAGATTCAACTTTATTGTCATTGCACAAGTACAGGCAACGAAATGCAGTTTGCATCCATCCAGAAGTGCTTGAGCGAAGTTATAATACAAAAAATATACAGTATATGGTGGTCTAAAATATCATACAGATGTACAAATATGACAGGTTGTAAACAGAAATATACAAATGTGTGTACAAGTGTATACACGGTATACAGTATGTACAAACTATGACTGTGGTAGATGTACAAGCAGTAAGCAGTAATATATGTATGATACATATGCACGGGTTATGGGTGGTTGCGGGTAGTGTATGTATGTGTTCAGTCCATGATTACTGATGAGTGTCAGGAGGCAGAGTTCAAGAGTGTCACAGCTGTTGGGAAAAAGCTGCTCTGGTACCTGGTGGTTGTAGTGCAGAGGCTCCTGTAGCACCTCCCAGTGGGCTGGAGGGTGAAAAGTCTGTATGCTGGGTGACTGGAGTCTTTGATAATTTTCCTGGCCCTATTGAGACATCGCTTCCCATAGATGTCCTCTAAGGCAGAGAGTAGTGCTCCTGCGATGTGCTGGGCGGATTTCACCACCCTTTGCAACGCCTTCCAGTCTGAAGCAGAGCAGTTCCCATACCAGACTGTGATGCAGGTGGTCAGGATGCTCTCTATGGTACTCTATGATTTTAACCCCATTCCTCTTACTTTTCTGTTACCAATTAATCTAATTAGTTGTGAAATGTTCCTCCAGCTTTTTTATTGTTTGTACCACTTACTTTTACAGCCTTTGGTTGCAGCTCACCTATCCTTTTTTAATATGTTACAAATCATAATTACCTCACTTTATTCCTAAATGAACAGCACAGTTTTTACTTTTAACAATTAATGTGTGTTCCTTTGTGAATAAACAATGTGTTTATGATATTAGCAAAAACTGTTGTTTTGTTTTTTTATTTACATTTTCTATGGCATCCTTATTTTTTTATTTTTATGATGTCCAAAACACAAATAATATGTAGATGAATCATGCATAAAAATATGTGAAGTCGTTACGTCAAACCGTCATCCTCCAAAATCGTTAAAGTGAGGTTATAATTCACATATAATCATGATAATTCAGTCTGCTGGAAAGACCCTGCTGCTATAACCAGGATGTGCAAGCCAGTCAAGCATGAAAACCTTCCTCACACCGTGATGTGTTTCTGTGTGTGTGTGTGTGTGTGTGTGTGTGTGTGTGTGTGTGTGTGTGTGTGTGT